TGCCACAGCTCCTTGGTACATGTCTCCCTTGCAGGGCAGGCAGGTTTGCTGGTGGTCCTGGTGCTGGCACAGCTGGGCACAGCGATGGGAGCCAACAGCCCAGGGATAGCATGGGACCCTGCTCCAGGGGTGATGTTAGGGATGACTTCTGGCAAGGTGCTAAGCAGCAGCAGGCTGGATCGGAGACAGGCTTTGTTTCCTCAGGGGATGGGAGGACACTAACTAAGATGTGGCCTCACAGGGAGTCCCAGGGTGACCCTGCCCTGGCTCCTGGGCCACCGTGGGTCCCAGTTGCACAGCGAGGCTGAGTCCCAGCCTCTGCTCCAGCAGAGCTGCCTGAGCCACACTGGTGTGCTGGCAGGCCTGTTATAGCAGGTCTGCTTTTAATTAAGCAGGACACTGCTTTTGTACAGCTGAACCCCTTGGGAGTTTGGGTATGGAGCCTTCGCCCCTGCGGTCGGGCTCCTGCTGCTTCTCCCCCTGTGGCAGGTGGCAAGCAAAGGGAGCCAGGGCCAGGGGCTTTGGGAGCACGTGCCGGGGCAGCCCATCCCACCCATTTGGGGTGCTGGCTGTGTCCCCAGCACCGGAGGGCACGGCATGGGCTGTGCCATGCCCTGCCACGGGGATCTGGTCTCCTTGGGCTCGAAGGCAAAGCCCAGGGCTCTTGTACTGGGCAGATAAGAGTTAATGTCCCAGCAGTTGTGCTGAGCTGGCTTTACTGGAAATAAACCCCAGCTGGAAATAGCTTCCTAATCATTACAGATTACAGGTAGCCCTACCTCGGTGGCTGTCCTTCAGAAACAGCACCTCTGCCCCACACTGCCGCCCTTGCGACCCCCTTCAGCAAACACCCCAGGGGCAGCTCCCCTAGCCCTGCATCCTTCCGGTGTCACACAGACCTGGTGCCAAGGCCCCATGCCCCCAGCCTGCTGCTGGTGTTCACCATGGGTGCCAGCCCAGGGCCGAGTCACAGCTGTGCACAAGAAGAGCCAACCAAAGCCTGCATGGGTCAAACCACCATCTTCGGACACTTGCAAGGCACCGTAATGGGGAGATGGTACCCCTGGGCATGGCTCTGGCATGGCTGTGCCAGGGGACATCGGAAATTGCTGCTGCTGCAGAGGCTGGGAAAGGAAGAAGCTTGTCCCAGCTTAGCCAGGAATGCAGTCCCCAGCACCAGCTGATGGTGTGGCCAGCCGCAAATGTTTAATGAACAGGAGTGGAATCGTTTGTCTGCACTGACCCCCCCCAGGAAGTCTGCACTCTGCAAAACAAACTGGGCTTTTGTTTGACTTGTTTTAAGTAAAACACATGTCACCCCTGTAAATCACAGGTCCCCTTCCCCACCCTGCCCCAGGGGCAGCGGCAGAGCAAAGGCGGGTGTTGGCCTTGAGGCACCGGCACAAAACCCGAGTCATGGGCTCCCTGGGTCTGGACAGGATCCGGCCCCGCGGTGGGTTTGTGGGGTGCTGCGTGCCCTGGGTTGGAGTCACGGGGCTGGAGCATCCAGGTCCCTGCAGCCACCCCCAGCTAGCTCGCACTCCCACGTGCAAGGTTTGCAGTGCCGGTCCCCGAAGGGCTCTTGCCCTGGCACCCCAGACGACCCGCCTCACTCCCCCCAAATCCCAGCCAGGCTGCTCTTTCACCGCCCCCATGCTCCTCACAGGCCGGAACCCTGGATCTCAGCCCAAGGCCGGCCAGCGGCTGCAGGCCCCT